AAGATCATGACCTGAGCCAAAGTCAGATGCTTAACAGACTGAGCCACCCAAGCGCCCCAATAGATACTCTTCTAATAAAGAGCTTTTTAGGCATCTATTCTGTAATAAAGATGCCAAAGATAAACTCATTATTCCTAAAAATCACATTTATTTTTTTTATTATTCATCATAAGACTTCTAGTAATGCAGAAAACCAAAAGTTAAGCATATTTGAAAGCAAAGGAAAACATATCTTTCTTGGAAGAAAAGTTGGTGCTTACAGTTCAAACAGAAACAAGATTAGTTTATTTAACAACTCTAGAGTAATAGCAAATGTAAGCACAGAAAATTACATTATGGCTAAAAATAAAATAGAGTTCTGACAAAGGAAGAAATATGAGCAAACTGAATCATGAATATATGATCTTCTATTTACTTCTACTGTAAAAGATAACCATTTGTTAGTATAAAATTTGGGTAAATTGGGTTCCCTTTGCAAATACACATATGAAGAAATTAAAGAGTCACTACCATTTATACATATCCTTTAGTGGTTGTAAAGCAGTAAAATACCTTTACTGAAACAAACACATAATTATTTATGAAGAAAGGAAATGTTCATTGTTCTTTCTAGAAGCAGACCAGTGCTGGGTCTTTAGGCAGCACATTCACAGTAAAATGTTACAGAGTTCCATTTGGCAGTCTTCAGGAAGAAAAACTAGATATGTTCAAGTTGCTCAACAACCTTTTCTATTTACGTATGTGTAAGTGGTGAATGAATGTTTAATGCTTTTTAGAATTCCTTTGGTTTTAAATTGTCTAGCTAATACGAAATCTTATTTTAAAAAAACAGAACTTACTTATAAATTAGACTTAAATTAAGTCTCATAATTGCGGAGAAGAAAATGACTTGAAAATATAAAAGAAAATATATGCCAACATGTTAACAGTGGCTATCCTTTGACAAGTTAACAGGTAATTTTTATTTCTTCTAGACTTAGCTGTATTTTCTATTGTAATGAAAAAAATACTAGAAACAAGAAGGGTTACTTACACATCTGAAAGAGTAAAAACTGCTGATTTCAAGAATATTAATTTAGGGATACAATAGTATTTATTTCATGTACTAATTAATCAGACTTCACGGACATCTGTTAGCCATTATAAGCAGTGCACTCAAGTTATAATTATTCACATAAATATGCTTATAAAATGAGTATCTTTCATAATTAAAGTTTTTAATGGCTACATAATGCAAAGGTATAGAACTCAGAGCTAAATAATATCAAGCCAAAAATGTAGGCATAAATACAAGAAAAAAAAATAAAGCATATTAAAATGAAACTAATACTATTAAAGGCCTTAAAACAGTAAGAGAGGAAGAAAGGAGAAGAAAAGACAAAACTAACATTTATTAATAGTACTTACTTTATGCCAAGCATCCTGCCAGGCAACTTTTTTACACACTATTTCAATTTATCCTATGATAGTCCTATAGGAAAATGGATTATGCCTATTTGCAAAAGGTAAAAGGTTCAGAGGTTAAGCAACTTGCCAGGATTCCATAGCTAGTAAATTACAAGTCTAAGGTTCAAGCATAAGTTGTTCTAACTCTAGAGTTAGAACTCTATGCTCTCCTCACTTCAGCAACCTGGCCCCCAAGAACAATAAAAGATAAATGGGTTTTTCTTTAATTGAGTCATAAAAAGGCAAGTTCCCCTGAGCAGATAATATACTTAACAGGGCAGCTTAACATTTTGGGTAATGGGGTAATACCAGTCATTACTGCAAATACTGCCTATTTAGCTCTATGGTCAGTAGAGAGCCTGGCTTCTCTGCTAGAACAAGGGGAAATGCAAATGAGTAAGTATTTTAATATGGAAGCATATTAAATTACTTTACTTTTCCATCTCCTGCATAGACATGCACTGGTTGAAACAGTGCAAGTGAAGAGAACTCATCCAACTCTACAAATACAAAGTATCTACAGTGAATATTATTGCTGGTCTTCAAAATCCTACAGCTTTCTATTGCTACCACAATGTAGTTAAAAAGTGGGGGCGCCTGGGTGGCTCAGTCGGTTAAGCGACTGCCTTCGGCTCAGGTCATGATCCTAGAGTCCCTGGATCGAGTCCCGCATCGGGCTCCCTGCTCTGCGAGGAGCCTGCTTCTCCCTCTAACCCTCCCCCTCCCTCTAACCCTCCCCCCTCTCATGTACTCTCTCTCTCCCTCATTCTCGCTCTCTCAAATAAATAAATAAAAATCTTAAAAAAAAAAAAATGAAAATCTTGAAAAAAAAAAAGTGAAAATAACAAAGTTCTTTCCCTGGGCTCCATCAAAACCATTATGATCCATTAACTTCCATTGTTCTCATACCTTGTGAGCAGACAAAATTCTATTGGTTGGATTATGACTTTTTTGGAACCAATGGAAACTTTACCAGGCAATGTGGTCAGCAACTGCACATCATGATTACCTGTGACTGAGAATATATTCTTTTGCAAGAGCGGGAGGAACTGACAAAAACTAAATATGCAATGAAGCTAAGAGTGCAGCTTTTAAACTAAGTGTTCTATCTTAAGTACTTTTTAGGGTTGGGGGGGGTGAAAGAGTTAGCTTTATCCCACAGACTCAACTTCAGTGTCCAATTACTTGCACTAATGACCAATACTTACACTATTTGAAAGAGTGGCCCTTGGTCTCACAGATCCCATTGACTCTAATTCCCTACACTGACCCTGAACAATGTCAAAACTAGGATGGATAGGGAACATGGCCACTATTTAACTCTTCATATCTAAGTGGGATAGCTACTTCTGTTCTGCTTAAGCTGACTGACTTGGGACTAAATGTGATAAATAATCTTCTGAAGCTTCTCTGACAATTGAAGGACTAGAACCAGCCCCTCCCTCCATCTGGGTCCAAAGGTAACCTGAAACTAAGGAATCATTTTCAGCTTAAAACATTCAAATAGGGGTGATTGGGTGGCTCATGTCAGTTAATTTGATTTTAGCTCAGGTCATGATCTCAGGGTTGTGAGATTGAGCCCCACGTCAGGATTCTCCCTCTCCCTTGCCTACCCCCTCCTTGCTCTCCCTCTCTAAAATGAGAAAACAAAAAACATTCAAATAAAAATGGTAGCTTATATAACATACACTGCTTATAAAAACAATGCATTCAATAATGTAGCCTCTGTTGTTCGCTTAAAAGAAAACAATATAGTTGAATATACAATTTGAGTGTTTCAGAGAATTAATGTACTAAGCCATAATATAATTATCAATGCTAGCTAAAACTTATTGTAGTCAATAATTTAATACTTTTGCTTAGGAATTATGTTTCTAGTTTATTCCTTGAATAAGAATATACTGTTGTTAGGTCCATTTTCTCTTTTCTTAGCTATGAACTATAATTTTCTATTTATTTGATCATGCCCTGTTTTTATTGTTGTATTTGTTGGTCTGCATTGTATAAAAGTTTATTTCCTTTACAGAAAAACTCTTGTTAGATGACATAAAAATCCAAAATGGCATATGAAGAATCACCTAAAACTAAACAGAATATCATAATAGGTTACGAGTGATCTAGTTAGGCCAGGAGTCTGTTTCTCTTGGTGTTACTACATTACACCTTATGAGAAAGCAGGATTTTCTTCCAGGTATTAGCCTCTTGAAGTGAGATATTTGCCCTAATCACTTCTAACATATAAACTCTCATAATTCTACCCAATTTATGCACAAAATTCCCACCCATCACATTGTGCCAAGGTGTGAAACAGATATTACAACATAAAAATATGTTATGTGTGTATCTGTGGATATGTGTGTGCACACACACGTTTATTCTTGTAGACTGCTTTTGGCTGGAGATGTATCCTGACAACATGAATTCAAACTAATTCAACAATTATTTAATACATACTATATGAGGAACACTTTTTTAGAAATTAGTTGAAATAAGAATTAAACATATATACAGGTTCCCTTTTTCAACACAAGGACAGCAGTTAGGAACATAATATAATCCCTGGGTAAGCTTCTAAAAGTTCTTTGGCAAAGATCCACTATTAAAATCTCTTTAGGAAATTCTTCTATTTCTTTTTTAGCAACACCTGCCTTCAAATATTCTAAATGGCCCTTTGGAGCAACTCATGATGGAGACAGAGTCAAAAGATGAGTACAATAACTTTTTTTTTTTCCATTTTAAACAGGAGGTATGGTTGGAGGCAGTCAGGTAGGCTTGAGATTAAATACTTTATTTTTGTGTTCAGCTACATCTTTTTTTCTTTTCTTTCTACATTTTATTATTTCAACACAGGTTTGGGTTTTTTTTTCCCCCTTGTGTTCAGCTACATCTTATTATGAAATAAAAACGTCAACAAATTTTTTTCCTATTTTATTTGTACAAAAACTACTCCACTCATGTTTTAATAGTAGTTCTATTATTTTTGAATATACCTTATGAAAGCATGTTCACTCCAACATAATCTCTTTGGTCTTTGCACTCCTCATCTGAAGAATCCAGTGTTCCAGCCTATTCATACCCAAATGTCCCTGCTATTTATATATATATTTTTAAGTTTCATCAATAGATTATTCAAAATGTAGATGCACTATGACTATATATGATAGAACAATGTTCCAGTTTTACTTTTACTCTCTAAAAATATCCAGTAATTTCTTGGCCTTTCTAACTGGAAAAGTCATTGATTATATGGACTTTTATGAGAACTACTCCTATTAGAGTTTATTTCAATTTAAGTCTACACTGAATTTCAGGGTTTTGTTTTGGTTTTGGTAGAAACAGAGTTGTAGTTATTTTGGTTGAAAGTAAAGTAAATTAAAACTTAAAACAACTGGCTAGGTTAGAAGTCTTCACAAATGGATTTATAAGAATGGAAAGAAAATATTCAAGCTAAGAAACTGGTTTGAACAAGTAAACCTCAAACTAAGATTAAATTCTAAAATATACTTTAGTAAGCAAAGTTATAATACAATATTTTGAAATTTTTTTATACTTACAGGCAAATGAGTAAACACTTGAAAGATGCTTCTCAAAAAATTAATAAGATCCATTAAATAACCACTAGCTCTTCCATCTGGCTCAGACATTGTCCAGTCATAATCAGCAAGCTGAACAAATGCATCAATTTTTTGATTAAGCTTGGTATATATTTCTCCTTCTGCTGCATGCCGGGCATCCTGACAAGGGACAAAATAATAAAAAATAAGAAATAGTTATAGAAGTAGATAATAGAAAAAGCTTTTTTAAAATTCTAAAATTTGTTTTATATTTTTCCTTGGTCTATTATTTTAGTCATTTATTTGAAGTCCAAGAAAACTGTTGGTTTTTTTGGCTGAGAGTAGTCTATTTGACTGACACCACTTTTTCTCCCAACCACATTATCACTTTTTCATTCTTATGTGGTAGGATAATTTATGCATTATTAATTCTGAATTGTTCTCACAGCTTTAAAAAGACCCTTAGGAGAAACAGAAGTGAAAAAAACAGAAACTGTCAAGAACCACCCCTGTCCACTGACTGAGAAAAATAAAGTTGGACAGTCACAGAAGAAATGGGAATAGTTGCTGGTGTTTTAAGTTGAAGAGGAAAAAGAAAAGAAAAGAAAAGAAAGAGATAGTTAAATTCTCAGAGGAGGAAAAAAGAAAGGATGGGAGTGATGCAAAAACACCAGAGTAAAGATCTCCAAACATTCTCTCTCCCATAAAAGCAGTAAGAAAACGAGCAAAAACTGTCAAAATCAACTTTTCCAGAACTCTGGAAATTAATTCAAAACTTGCAGCAATCCAAGTAGTGTTCATTCAAGAAAAACAGCTGTATCTTGGTAAGAAAACGAGCTTTGCAGGGTTTTAATGTGCCCTTATTTCCATTCTTCCTCCCTTGTTCCAGCTCCACAGTATCCTTGAAAACCAACATCCCACAACTGTGGTAAAAACCAATAGCCTGAGAGTCATCAAACAGGGCCGAATGGGGTTGGAGCTCCTTCAAAAACCACATTCCCAGAGAATTATCATTATTTCAACTATCTGATGGTTCCCTGGAAGACCCCACTTGCAGGGATGTCTTTATTTGATTTAAACTGAGGCTTGTCCAGTGCAAAAAGTCTTTTCTCTGGGGACATTTGTTGAAAATAATTAAAGGCAATTGCTTAACATCACATATGCCTGAGGCAGTGCATAACAGGGCACACAATCAGCTAACTAAAAAGCTTAAGAGGAAAAACTGGGGAATGAGATATCCACAGATAATTCTGAAAGGCTCTGACATATTCCTGGGAATCTAGAAGGCTCTGTACGTGTGTAGGGCTGTACACAAACTCAGAAAAGACCATAGTCCGGAAGCAGAAGAAGGCTCTAACAATCTACACATTCAATGCAATCCCCATCAAAATACCATGAACTTTTTTCAAAGAAATGGAACAAATAATCCTAAAATTTGTATGGAACCAGAAAAGACCCCGAATAGCCAGAGGAATGTTGAAAAAGAAAAGCAAAGCCGGCGGCATCACAATTCCGGACTTCCAGCTCTATTACAAAGCTGTCATCATCAAGACAGCATGGTACTGGCACAAAAACAGACACATAGATCAATGGAACAGAACAGAGAGCCCAGAAATGGACCCTCAACTCTATGGTCAACTCATCTTCGACAAAGCAGGAAAGAATGTCCAATGGAACAAAGACAGTCTCTTCAGCAAATGGTGTTGGGAAAATTGGATAGCCACATGCAGAAGAATGAAACTGGACCATTTCCTTACACCACACACAAAAATAGACTCCAAATGGTTGAAAGACCTCAATGTGAGACAGGAGTCCATCAAAATCCTAAAGAACACAGGCAGCAACCTCTTTGACCTCAGCCGAAGCAACTTCTTCCTAGAAACATCGCCAAAGGCAAGGGAAGCAAGGGCAAAAATGAACTATTGGGACTTCATCAAGATAAAAAGTTTTTGCAAAGCAAAGGAAACAGTCAACAAAACCAAAAGACAACTGACAGAATGGGAGAAGATATTTGCAAATGACATATCAGATAAAGGGCTAGTATCCAAAATCTATAAAGAACTCATCAAACTCAACACCCAAAGAACAAAGAATCCAATCAAGAAATGGGCAGAAGATATGAACAGACATTTTTCCAAAGACGACATCCAAATGGCCCACAGACACATGAAAAAGTGCTCAATATCGCTCGGCATCAGGGAAATCCAAATCAAAACCTCAATGAGATAGCACCTCACACCAGTCAGAATGGCTAAAATTAACAAGTCAGGAAACGACAGATGTTGGCGGGGATGCGGAGAAAGGGGAACCCTCCTACACTGTTGGTGGGAATGCAAGCTGGTGCAGCCACTCTGGAAAACTGTATGGAGGTTCCTCAAAAAGTTGAAAATGATCCAGCAATTGCACTACTGGGTATTTACCCCAAAGATACAAAAGTAGGGATCCGAAAGGGTACGTGCACCCCGATGTTTATAGCAGCAATGTCCACAATAGCCAAACTGTGGAAAGAGCCAAGATGTCCGTCGACAGATGAATGGATAAAGAAGAAGTGGTATATATATACAATGGAATATTATGCAGCCATCAAAAGGAATGAGATCTTGCCATTTGCAACGACGTGGATGGAACTGGAGGGTATTATGTCGAGTGAAATAAGTCAAACAGAGAAAGACATATATCATATGATCTCACTGATATGAGGAATTCTTAATTGCAGGAAACAAACTGAGGGTTGCTGGAGTGGGGGGTGGGGTGGGAGGGATGGGGTGACTGGGTGATAGACACTGGGGAGGGTATGTGCTCTGGTAAGCGCTGTGAATTGTGCAAGACTGTTGAATCTCAGATCTGTACCTCTGAAACAAATAATGCAATATATGTTAAGAAAAAAAAAAGAAGAAAAAGAAGGTAGCGGGAGGGGAAGAATGAAGCAGGGGAAATCAGAGGGGTAGACGAACCATGAGAGACGATGGACTCTGAAAAACAAACAGGGTTCTAGAGGGGAGGGGGTTGGGAGGATGGGTTAGCCTGGTGGTGGGTATTGAGGAGGGCACATTCTGCATGGAGCACTGGGTGTTATGCACAAACAATGAATCATGGAACACTTCATCTAAAACTAATGATGTAATGTATGGGGATTAACATAAGAATAAAAAAAAAAAAAAGAAGGCTCTAAGCTCTCATCTATGACTGACCTTGAAGCCCTGTGCAAGCAGGAAGTGAATGCTAAAGCAGTGTCGTCAAATGCCTGAGTGTTGAATACACACACAGAGTTCTTTAGCAAAGACTGGGGAACTTATTGGTTCCAGGCTTTTAAGGAAATCTGTGTCCAATCATTAGCTCTCCACAAAGCTAACCAAGCAGAGACTTCAGTGGTCACAGAGGAAAAAGAACACAGACTTTATAGAATTAATTCAGAAAAGTCACAACCAACCAACCACCAGGAAGAAACAACAAACACCAAACCTTGGGAAGAGAGGAAAATCTCATTTCCAGAATTACCACAATATATTATTTAAGTGTCCTGTTTTCAACAAATTTATAAGTCACACAAAGTAATAAGAAAGTATGACCCATAGACAGGAAAAAAAAGCAATCAACAGAAACTCTTACTAAGGAGGTAGTCATCGGACTTATAAAACGAAGACTTTATTTTTTTTTAAAGATCTTTTTTTTTTAGAGAGAGAGAGTGTGTGCATGAGCGGCGGAGGGCGGGGGGGGGGGGAGGGCGGCAGAAGGAGAGGGGAAGCAGACTACCCATTGAGCAGGGAGCCTGACACGGGGCTCAATCTCACAACCCTAAGATCATGACCTGAGCTGAAACCAAGAGTCAGATGCTCAACCAACTGAGCCACCCAGGTGCCCCAAGACAAAGACTTTAAATCAGCTATTTAAAATATGTCCAAAGACTATAGGAAACCACATCTAAAGAACTAAAGGAAAATATAGCAGTGCCTCAAGAAATAGAACATAAATAAAAAGACAAATATTTTTTTAAAATAGAAATTCTGCAATTGAAATGTACAATAAATGAAATGAAAAAATTATTGCAAGGGTTCAACAGATTTGAGCAGGCAGAAGAAAAAGATTTCATCAACAATATAAACAAACTAGACTTAACAGACATCCATAGAATATCCCACACTCAAAAACAGCAGAGCATGCATTATTTTCCAAGTGAACATGGGATGCTATTCAGAATAGGGCATATGTTAAGACCATAAAAAAGCCTTAAAAGGACTTAAATCATACAAAGTATGCACTCCAAGCACAACAGAATGAGATTAGAAATTAGTAACATTACAGAAGGGAGGGTGTTGGGGGGATGGGGTAACCAGGTGATGGATATTAAGGAGGGCACGTGTTGTGATGAGCACTGGGTGTTGTTACACACAACTAATGAATCGTTGAACACTACATCAAAAACTAATGATGTACTATATGTTGACTAACTGAACATAATAAAAATAAATAAATAAAATAAAATAAAAATGATAAAAAAAGAAATTAATGATAGCAGGACATCTGGGAAATTCACAAATATGTGGAAATTAAACATTAGACTCCATTAAATAACCAACGGGTCAAAGAAGTAATCAAGATCAAAATCAGAAAATATTTTGAGATAAAACAAAAACAAAACAGGGGCGCCTGGGTGGCTCAGTCGTTGGGTGCCTGCCTTCGGCTCAGGTCATGATCCCAGGGTCCTGGGATGGAGCCCTACATCGGGCTCCCTGCTCCATGGGAAGCCTGCTTCTCCCTCTCCCACTCCCCCTGCTTGTGTTCCCTCTCTTGCTGTGTCTCTCTGTCAAATAAATAAATAAAATCTTTAAAAAACAAAACAAAACAAACAGAAAAACACAATACCAAAACTTATGGGACTTAATGAAAGCAGCACTTACAGAAAATTTACAGTATGCATGCCTATATTATAAAAGAAAAAAGATCTCAAATCAATCACCTAAACTTTCACCTTAAAAAACTAGAAAAAGAAGAAATGGTAGTTGTGGGTTCTCAGACAACAGCACTCTGAAAGAATGGCATGAGGGAGACTGTGCAGACTAGGCATTGTGGCCTTTGAACCAAGACAAAAGATCCCCATGTCTAAGTTTTCTCTTAAAGGCTCACATAAACTTATGGAGCATCTTGAAAGTTAAAACTGGAACAATCTCTGTCTTTCTCAC